GCTATGATGCAGGGAGAACAGCCTTGTTCCTCTGCCCACCCCCCACCGCCCAGTCTGCCTGGAGAAGACCATCGGACGGATGACAAGGGAGGGACAAGATAAGGGAGCGAGGCTGGTCGGGGCTGGCCCGGTCATCAAAAACGAAGGCTGGGAAACTGTCCCGACCAAGAGGAGCCCACGAGGACATGACTAAATGCAGTGTGGGACCCTGGATGGGATCCTGGAGCAGAAAAGGGACGTTAAGAAAAAACTGAAGAAATGTGAATAAAGAACGGGCTTTACCTAATAGAAAGCAAACCTAATCGACCCTTTCATTGTGATCAATGTACCACAGTAACGTAACATGTTAACAACAGGGAAAACTGTTGTTGGGTGTGTGGGAACTTTCTCTGCTAACTCTGCAATAATTCTGTAAGTCTAAAGCTGTTCCAAAATTTAAAGCTTATTATATTTTTTAAAATATCAACTGATGTGTGGATAAAGCTAAGAGGAGGAAACCCTGCTGTTTGTGACAGCACGGAGGGCATTGCGCTGAGTGAAACAAACAGAGAAAGAAGCTGCCGAGTGAGCTCACTGACGTGTGAGCTCACTGACGTGTGGAACCCACAGCAGCTGAGCTCACAGAAAGAGCACAGGTGTTCGCCAGGGGCTGGGGGACTGGGAGAAGGGGGAGGTGTCGGTCAAGGGCGCACACTTCCAGTTAAAAGACAAAGAACTTCTGGGGATCGAAGGTACAGCATGCTGACCGTAGTTAGCAATCCTGTATCACGTGCTTAAACGCTGCCGAGAGTAGATCTGAAATGATCTCACCACAAAAAAGAAACGGCCGTCGTGTGACTGGAGGGAGGAGTGAGCTAACTCTGTGGTGGCGGCTGCCCTGCACTTTACAGGTCCATCAGGTCCATGACACCTGGACACCTTGAACGAGCCCACTAGTATGCGTCAGTCACATCTCAATAAACCGGGGCAAATTTTAAGAAAAAACAATACAAAGAAGGGTTTGCCCTATCAGTAGATTTATTTTATTTTATTTTATTTTTATTTTTTATTTTTAAATATATTTTATTGATTATGCCATTACAGTTGTTCTATTTCCCCCCTTCATTTCCCTCCACCCTGCACACCCCCTCCCCCACCATTCCCCCCTTTAGTTTATGACCACGTGTCTCAAGTTCTTTAGATTCTGTATTTCCCCTACTATTCTTACCCTCCCCCTATCTATTTTCTATCTACTGTCTATGCTACTCTGTACCTTCTCCCCCCTTCTCCTCCTCCCACTCCCCTGTTGCTAACCCTCCATGTGATCTTCATTTCTATGGTTCTGCTCCTGATCCAGCTGTCCTCTTAGTTTGCTTTTGTTTTAGGTGTGGTTCTTAATAACTGTGAGCTTGCTGTCCTTTCACTGTTCATCTTTTTTATCTTCTTTTTCTTAGGTAAGTCCCTTTAACATTTCATGTAGATTTTATAAAGCCAAACGACACCTAAAAGAGGTGCTCCTGGCAACAGACCTGGCAGGACACAAGGGAAAGTCCAGATGAACTCTTTACAGATCAAGTGATCTGGATGAAGGTGGAATCCAAAGGGATGAAAGGAAAGGATTTATCCAACAAAAGGTACCTGACCCATTAATTATCCCATTCTAGAAGAATTACGTTAGATGATTTTTTTGCACCCCCCCCCACACTGATTCTTTTTCATTCCAGGTTAAAGATTAACATATAACAAGAAAAAGAGAAAACAAATGAAAAAAAAAAAGACCTAGAACACGCACCTAACTGATTTTGTGATAGGAAAAAGTAACCTTTCTAAGCATGAAAGTGAAGAAACGACAGGGGGGAAAAGTCCGCTCTCACCACATTTAAAACGTCCGGCCATCGGGAACGACAAATGACACTGAGCAGCCAGCAACCGGGAAAAGTACTAACCACATAATGAAACCGGTTAATACCATCAACACCAAGTCCCCGCACTGACAGCTGAGAAAATCAGTAAAACACCAGTGGAACAAGGAGCAAAGCAGCTCATAATTTCCAAAAGAATAAATTCCCACCCAAAACAACCTCGTGACACATGAAAGCACACTGGGCCTCACCGGCACTTAAACAAGAAGATCCCAGTTCCCATCTTTTGAATTAGGGGGGAAATTTTTTTCCCCTCATCCCTCAGGGGCAGCTTCTCTCAAAGGGCCCTACAGATGCTTCTGGTGCAGGTTTCGACCCACCGAACATTTTGCAAAACAATCTGAAGAGTCGCCCACCCACCCTATGTGTTTAAAATGTCCTACAAATTCCATTTTGAGAAAATTAATCCTGCAAAAAAAAACCATCAAAGATGCAAAGCTCCACGCTAGAGTGCCTTTTGCAGTATTTTAAGAGGAAAACAGAAAACAATCCAAGTTTGCAGCCAAAATGAAATCATTAGCAAAGTTCTAACTTTCTAGTTTGGGAACATTCCACTTTTTCTCATTTAAACATTTTAAAAAGCCCTTCCAAAGCACAGATGCTGGTTTATCTCCAAGGGAGGGCAGCCCAGAACCTCCGGTGTCTGCCTGGCAAAGACCCCTCGGGGTCTAGGAAAGGGGTTTCCTTTAAGAAGCCCCTCCAGGCATGCAGCCCTGGGGGGCCTGAACCATCGCTAAAACCCCCTTTCTCAAGCTCCTCTTCCAACCAAGGGATTCCATTGGCTGATTCAAAAGACACAGCCAAAGCTAAACCGCAGCTCCAATCCCTGCTCGGAACCCTCTGGTGGCCGCTCGCAGCCCATAGAAGGAAGTCGAAGTGCTCCAAATCCTCAGCCCGAAGTCGCAGCCCAGGGCGATCTGGCCTCTCCCCACTTTCCCATTTCACCCCTCCGACGCCCGGGGCCCCCCCCCCACACAACCTGTCCCTAAATGTCGGCCACCACTCAGTGAGCTCAGGAAGCTCCCTGCATCCCCAGCACCTGGCATCACCGCCACCCCCAAGAAATGCTCAAAAGCTGACAAATACTCCACCGTCCTTTAAGCCCTGCTCCAGTGCCGCCTCCTCACAGAGCCCTCGGTTGGGGGCTGGCACCTGAGCCAGCGTGTGACTCTTCCTACTCTCCACCTGTCCTGTCTGTGCAGGCTGCTGGCTCCCTGGCGCACCTAGCAGGGGCTCCGTAAATGCTGGGCTCCCCTCCACGCCTGGACCTGGGGAGGCTGTAGGGAGGGTGGTTTGGGGAACTGGGGCGGGGAGGGTGGGGCTTTCTGCTTCTCAGAGGATGGAGTGAAGGCTGGAGAGTCGTGCACCTGCTGGGAGAGCACAGGAGAGGTAGGGGGTGGAAGGAGGGCTGGGAGAAGCTGATGGCTGCAGAGGGACAGTGAGGACAGCCCTCGGCAGCCCCAGCTGGGGCCCCTGGGACGCGGCGTCTGCTTCCAACAGGTTGCTACCCGGCCCTGCAACTGGAGCCAAACAAATTCTCCAGACAAATTACATCACTCTGGCAGGTGGCTTCGGGTACATGCCCCCCCGGGTCCTGCGCCTCCATTTCTCAAACTGTAAGAGACAGCCGTGGACGAAGTGACCTCTAAACGCTCTCAGTGTGACGTCATTGGAGGTCCAAGAATGACCCAGAAAGGGAGTGAGAGTTGGGGGTAGTGTCTGTCACCTGTGTCTGAGCTGAAGCCCCAGACACACCTCACATCTTCGCAACTCCCCTGACCTCCCTGCCTGCGGCCCTGAGGCCGCAGCTGTCCTTTGGGTTTTCCCAGAAATATGCGTTTAGATCCCTGGCTCTGGGCTTTGGGCTTCGGGACCCTAAGGGGCCCAGAGCTCCTGGAGGCTGAGGGACACCCCTCCACACCCAGCCCGAGGACGGCAGGACCGCGTCACTCCCACCGCTGCCTATTTCTCAAATATCAGACTGTGACACTGTGACTGACAGAGGCACACTCCCCTCAAAGGGCTGGCGGTCTCCCACACCCGTGGGCCACTGCAATTTCTCAGCACAAGAACAGCCCGAAGCATGATTTTGCAAGGGATCCGCCATTTTACTTGAATTTAAAAAATTTTGGCTTTATAAAGCTGGCCTTCTGCATAGAACAGCGGATAGAAGGTGAAGCGTGATAAAGCAAAACCAGTAACAAATGGCCGGTAGGACTGCGGACTGGGCAGACAGGTGTTCGATGGGCTCCCACCCCACCCCACTGTGCTGTGTCTGAATATTTTTATTAAAAAATGCTGGAGAAAAAGCAGTCCTATTATTCGGAAGGTTGGTGATCATGCTCAGCAGATGTTTTCCCCCGAAACTCCCCCACAGTGGGGTCTTTCGGGGACCCTTTTCAAAGGGCAGGTCCCTAACACTGAGCAGAAAGTTAGGGGCTGCAGGAGGCACGAGGTGCTGGCGTGGGGCGGGTGCCAGGCAGTGGGAAGGGCGGTGAGGGCGGCAGCCTCGCCCGGGAGCTGCCGTTTTCCTTGGGAAAACAGGTGAGGAGGCAAGACGCGGCGGCCCGGGTGAGTTCAGGGGCCTCTGGGGGCTCCTCCGGCCTCCGCCGGGCAGGCTGAGAGCGAACTCCAAGAATTAACAAAAAGTGAAAACGCGAAGCCCGCAGAAGGGGGATCATCGCATGCCCGGCTCTGCTCACCAACGACTCGGCCGGTGTGGGGGGAGTTCTCGCCCGTTTCCTAAACGGGGGAAGTGAGGCCCGGGCGGGTAAGCTCACTCCCGAAGTCCCACAGCCAGGAGGTGGCTGAGCAGCACTTGAACGCAGTGCCCCCCAGCTCTCTGTCACTCACCTGACCCTGCAAGACGGAAGGCGCGAGAGAGGCGCAGCAGGTTCCCAGGAGAAGAAAGGGCGCCTGCAAGGCCTGCCCCGCCCCAGGTGCCCGAGGTCGGGCAGCGCGCGCGTGCTGAGCAGGCGCTCCGGCCCGCGCGGCCCCGGGGCGTCCAGGTGCGCTCGGGCTGCAATCTCAGGCGGGCGGATAAGAGCGGTTATAGGGAGCGGGACGGGGACGCAGGACGGGGACGCGGGCCGGCGTTACCTGGGTCATGGAAGGGCACCAGCGCGTAGTTGGCGATGGCCCGGCTGTGGTGGCTCAGGCTGCGCTCCAGAATGCGCGAGGCGCCATCCATCACCTGCATCAGGTCGTCCCACATGGAGCCGGTGACGTCGAAGACGATGGCCAGGGTGGCGTCCCCCGTGGCCGAGGGCAGCGCCGTCCCGGGCGTGCCGGACGCCGCGGCGGAGACCGCCAACAGCAGGCTCAGGAGCAGCGCCCGGGGCATCGTGGGGAGCGCGGCCGACTGCGGTTGGCAGCTGCCGTGGAGGCGCCGGTCGTGCGGAGCACGACAGTCCCGTGGGCCGTCCAGCGTGCGGCTGCAGCGCCGCACCTCGCTCCGTCGAGCAGTGGCCGGTGCGCTCGAGACAGGGGCTCGAGGCGGGGTCCGCCTGCTGGGAGCCCGAGGCGGGTCCTAGAACCCACCCCGTTCAGGGTCACGGCCCCGCCTCCTCCGCGCCCCACGCCGTGACTCAAACTTTCCCGCCCCCGCGGCTCGCCAGTCCAGACCCGAGGTTAGGGGAGGACGCGGGGCGGACCGAAGTGCGGAGCTGGGTGAGAGCCGCGGACATACAGGGACGCGCGGGACGCAGCGGACACCTGCGCCTCCGGACACGCGCCCTGCGCGGGGGCGGGAGAGGGAGGGGGGCGCGCGCCCGCCCCTGGGCTGGAGGCCTGGCCGCAGCGGAGGCCCGCTGAGTTCCTCCCTCCACCCAGCTCCCTAAATGCCCCGCCCCACCCCACACGGGAACGCCAACGCTTTTTCCCTCTGCGGGGCTCTGTGCTACCCAGTTATTGTAATTGTCACTGTTATAATCAAGCACCATACTTTGAGCACCTACTATGTGCTCGCTGCAACCCTACAGGGAGGCACTAACACTAAACGCATTGTACAGATAAGCCAACGGAGGCTTGGTCATTTACAAACTGAGGGTAAGTCGTTTGCCGGCAGTCACTCAGCTCTCAAGTGCTGGGGGTAGGAATGGAAGCCAGATCTAGAAAGAGCCCAAGACCCTAGCCCCTGCTGCCTCCCGAGTGCTGCAAGCTAATGTCACAGGTCCTCTGAAGGACCGGGGATGCCCCTCTGCCATCTCCCTCACCGGGCCCACGGACCGCGTGTGAAGGTCCTGGGACACAGGGAGGCGCTGCTCCGCCGTCCCCTCCCTAACGCGGCGGCACCCTCCTGCTAACGCTGCCCCTCTCAGGCTGTGCTCCCCTGCTTACTTCTACCACAGGCCTCCCCCCATTGGCAGGGACTGTGTCTTGGTCCTGGCCCCCTCCACGCATCAGTCCCCAGTTCCCAGCCCAGCCCAGCCCCTGGCACATGGTGGGGACTTCACCAAATGCTGCCTGAACAAAGAACAGAAGCTTTTGTGGGCCTGCTGGTTGTGATAGCCACAGGAGGAGGGGCAGTCTGTCCCCTCCTTCCTCAGCCCCTCCTCTGAGACAGGCAGGCTGCCAGGACAGGTGCCCGCAGCCCCTCAGACTTGGTGAGGGCTCTAGGTCCGTGATGGGGGATGAAGGGGGGGCTTCTCCAGCCCTTCCACTCCCAGCCCCAACCAGGAAGGCTCCCACCCCATACCTCCTGCCTCCGCTTTTATCTCAGTTCACACCCCACCCCAGGGGCTGCTTCGGCACCTTGCCCTGTGACTCTCAGTCTAGCACTGATCCCTACCCTCACTGTGACCAACTGAGCTCTGGGGCGGCAGAGACCCGGTGCCTGGCACACGGTAGGCGCCCAAGGAAGGCCTGCACGTGAATGGGTCAGCGGGTGTCAGAGGGGCCTGGCAGCGTTGGGCAGTGGCGGCCGCACACACCCTCAGGGACTCTGTTCTACACCAGAGCTGGGGTCCGGAGGGAGTGGTCTCCCTGGAGCCGCCTGCTGCACGGGTTAAGGGGGGAACCAAGTGCCCAGACCCAGGTGAGAGCAGGGCTCACGGCCAAGCTCACAGGAGGTTGAGTCACCTGTACTTCTGGACACTGGCTCTTTAAATCTCCCTGGGTTAAGGCAAAGATTGGCCCCGGGACCTGGGCAGGGCTGGGCCAGCTGTTGGCCGGAGAGGAGAGGCCCCAGCTGTGGAAGGCAAAGGGGAAGAGGCGCCAGGAGCCAGGCAGGGCTCATGGACAGAGACATAGGGGGCCCAGTACAGGAGGCCTTTGGGGACAAACTCGTCCTTCAGTCATCCACTCCACAGACCCCGGCTGGGCCTCAGCTGGGTGTCAGGCACTCGGCTAGGCACTGGTCGGGGTGGGAGGGCATACAGATGTGCAAGACATGCTTTCGACCCTGGGGAGAAGAGACACGTAAACAAATAATTCCGAGGCAATGACCTAAGTGCTAACAGAGGAATTACCGAGCACTCTGGGAGCCCAAAGGAAGGAGAGTCTGGGCCTAAGGGGTCAGAGGAGGCCGCGGGTGAGCCTGGGAGGAGGTTGAGAACAAGAGGGAAGGGAATTTGAGGAGCAGGAACAGCATGTGCAAAGGCAGGGGGACAGGAGCGACCTCCTGCCAGCCCAGTGGGACCGCTGGGGACAGCAGAGCAGAGGATGGAGCCCAGATCTTGAAGGACCTGAAATGTCTGATGAAGAGTGTGGGATCTCTCCAAAGGCAGCAAAGAGCTAGTGAAGAATGTGCGGGAGGGGAGGGGACAGGGAAGCCCCCTGATTGGATTTGCATTTTAGAAAGGTCCCAGCAGCAGAAATTCAAAGAGTAGACCTTGTAGGTGCCAAGACATAAACCGACTCCCTCAGGACACAAGAGCAGAGCTGGCCCCAAAGAGGGCGGGATGCTTCTCTGAGGACTGACCCCACGGGCAAGTGGGTCGTGCATTCGAGTCCTGAAATAACCTTGTGACCTAGCGCAAGGGCCTCCCCTCCCTGGCCCTTTGTTTCCCCACTTGCAGAATGACCTGAGATGCACGGGGCTAGCCAGATGCCCTCCCACGCAGGGGAGGACGTGGTTCTCACAGCCCCAGCACGCTAGAACTGCCACCGGAGCCCATTGGAGACACAGGCAGGATGCGGAGAGACCCTCTGAGCTCATCAGGGAAAAGCCTCCTCCAGTTGCCAGGGAAGGGAGACTGGAGGGCGGGCACCACCTCCCATCCAGGTGGCCAGGGGCGCTGCCCCAAGCATGGGCCCCTCTGGAGGCTCGGTGCTTCCGTGAACGTGACCGTGGCAGTGCTGGGCGTAAGCGCAGAGGCCCAGAGGAAACACCCCCAGAGCTCGTCAGTCGGTTCCGTGTCACCACCTCGGCTCTCCAGGCCCCTGGGAGCCCACAGTGTGAACTCAGGACAACGCACATTTTCCTCCTGTTTCCAGAAGGATGGTCTCCGTGGAGTTGTTTGCTTCTGGACGTGCCTCATGTTTACTATGGAGAGCACGTGGTCCTGGCCCGTCCCCAGAAAGGATGCATGTGCGTTATCGCTCACACCACTGCTCTCAAATCCAGGCCTGTCCCCCCTGTCTACACTGGGGATCCGAGACCAGCCGAGGGGCTGGATCAGAACCCAGAACTCGGCCGGTCAAAGAAAGGCGGCCCCTTCCCACCAATAGGCCTTCGTTATGCTTCTGTAGGTCTCATCCCCTAAACACATCCTGGTTTCGGCCACCTCAGGTCCGCTGAGGTTCCGTCACCCGCCTCCCACCGGCCCCACCTGGCCCTCTGCCGGAGGGAGCCTGCCCCCTTCCTCGGAAGGCGCACAAACACTGAAGGTGGAGAACATCCGCCCAGTCCTCACTGAGCGCCAGCCACGCCGAAGAACAAACCCTTCCGGTAGATCCCCTCCTACAACCACTTAGCTCAATATTCACTCTTCACGTGGCAGATGAGGAAACCGAGGCAGAGAGGGGCAGTCCCGTGTCCAGGCTGGACGTCACACTCGCACCTGCCTTTCCGCAGAGCCTGTGATCCCATCCACCCCTCCACGCTGCCTCGGCCACATCGGGGTGCTCGGCACAGGGTTCCCAGCTGCAGAAACTCCTAGAACAAATGTGGGGCTCGGGGAGCGGCAGCTCGGCTGGACTGGGACTCGAGTTTCAGACATTTAGCACCTTTGAAACGCTGAACACTCAGCCCCATGTGTAACCAAACCGCCTGGGGCCGAATGAGAGGAGAGGGAGACCACCTTGCAGACATGAAGATCACAGGGGAGGCTGCGCCGTGGTCTGCGGGCGCGCGGACCGAGCACCTGAGACACAGAAAGAGTCTCACAGCCTCACTTCTCTGCTCTAGGAAGGAAGTAAAAAATTAAGTGAGGGCCCTGGAGGCCAGGACTAGCAGGGAGTCGAAGGAGCAGACAAACAACTTGAGAAGGAGCTACCGAGGAGGAGGAGGAGGAGCCAGGAAGTTCCACTCAGCACCACTGTGGGAGCTCCTCGGAGCAGCCAGGCACGCGAGTGATTTACTGCTGAACTCCATCCCGAGATGGGATCAGGCTCCAAACCACAAGAAATGGTCGAGACCATCCCAAGAAATACTGGAGTGGCTCAAGGGACACAGGAACTGCTGCCCATCCCCATGTACTCAAAAACAAACAGTTCAACATGCTCAGCCAGAGCCGGCAGCTGGGACTCGCTCCCCACCACCCAGACCTGGCCCATCAGCTGGGCGGAGCTCATGCATTACTGGGCCCCCATGCTGTCATGGGGGGGGGGGCAGAGCTGGTCTCATCCTCGGGTGGTTGCGGCTTTCCGTGCTGTATAGTAGTAAGATTTGTTGTCATTTATGGCCACGGTGTCACCTTCATCATTGTCACCGGTGGCTGGAAAGAATATCCAGAATAAGCTGAGGTTTACCGTCCATGCCTTTTATTATTTCTCTATAATTCCATTGAATTGCTTTGTGCCTTCTGGCTCAAAGACCCTGTTGGCTTCTTACCCTATAGGCTTCCCTGCCTGCCTCCTGGGGAGCCTGGCTTTGCCCCAACTTTCGGGCTCAGGTGTCCATTCATCTTCCATGTGACTTGAGGGAGGGCCCCCTTTGCCGTCTCCAAGTGAAGTCCCAATGGGCCAGGTTACCCCTGTGGGCTGGGACGGGGCGTTTAATGCAGGTCTGGCCGACGGGACACGGAGGGGCGTGCGCTAGTGCACCTCCGGAAGAGACGCAAAAGCAGAAAGGCTGAGGATGCACTGGACCCCACTGGATGTCTCACTCTAAAGCCGCAGCGCCCAGGACAGTGTGGTACAGGCCAGTGGGACAAGAAAGACAGTCCAGAGACAGAAAGAGGT